AACATGCTATGCCCTAATTCCAGTTGTATATGTTCCCTGTTTCCATTTCTGTTACTAAATTAAAGCTAGCCATAACCTCCTCTGTCTAGTACTGAATCCACACACTTCAAAGAACTTTCTTTTCTGCTTTTAAAGCTTTTTGCAATGTCATTATTTTAATTAGAATCTTTCTGTTGATTACAGACTGTTTTTCTATCATCAGTCTTGAAATTCAGCATGCAGTTAAAAAAGCAAATCCAACCTTCTGAGTCTCTAGAATGTCTCAAGGTGCTAAGATTCAAAATGCAGTGGTGATGAATTCATTCTTCTAATCACAGTAGGATCAGAACTTGAGATGCCATGTTAATCATCCTCACAATAATCCCATTTTAAAATGTACTTATTTAATGCCAGGATTATACATCTTGATCAAAATGTATTCTCGGGTTACAATAGGGTGACTATAACAGGGCACAGACAGACTGCCTAGGTGTAATGAGGCTGATGGATGAATAACAATGTTCCTTTTCATATACCCAGACCCTGCTCTATCTGAGCCATCTGCTGCTGAAATTGCAAATCTGTACCAAAGAATGGTAGATTATTTTTTTGCTTCTATTATTCAGACAGCATTTTTCATTTGATATAACTTGCAGGCACTGGATCTACGCTTGCTTATTCTAAGTGAGAATCCAAGATCAACTTTTTACTGTCAGAAGGCACTTTGCAAACTCAGAATAACATGCAACTGTGAAATTATATTCCTTTGAAAGAATATGCCTAACTGGATGCAACTTTAAAAGGCATTCCTTTGTTATCACAAATGGGAACTAAAACTAGTTTTAGTTGTAAAGAAGTTGTGTGGGAGAAGAAAATAGCAGCACAATAGAAAATAGCAGCACAATATCTATAACAGAGCAAGAGAAATGAGGTCGGTAAATTGCTCAAATGAATGGTCTTGATGACTCCAGCGGATTATTGATGTGAGAAGAAATTGCAGTTTGGCCCACAGTTACAATTAAAATTAATTTTTTTAGAAGTCATTGGCAATACTTCCCCTGAAAACTCCCAAATGCTCTGGACTTGACCTCTGAGAGGCACAAAGCTACTTTGAGAAAGGACACAGAACTGCTTAACACCAGTCAGTGTCAGACACTGGTATTCCAGAACATTACAAACCCGTGCTAGATGAAGACATGGTCTTTGGGCAAAGATTAGATTTTTAGCAACTGTTACAAATGAGGGAAGGAACCCTGTCAAAATATACTTTTTCCTAGAAAACAATGGCTAGTTTACACTTCGTGATTCACACTTAAAACACTGTGTCTACCACTATGTACTTTTTAACACTAGATTACTGTAGTTTATGGCTCTCCCAGAGTCCCTTGTTAGTGGTAGCTATGTATCTGAAAGCCTGTTACCGTCACTCACTGCCCAAACAGATTTGATTCCTCTGCATATTTTTAGTCACTGCTAACAGCAGCAATTATTCCATATTCTGTATAGAAGAGAGGGACCTGGACTTTCACAGAGTTGACTTTTTGCTGATGTTATCTTTCATTAAGAAAAATACAAAATGTTTGCACAAGTTCAGCCTCCAGAGGTCCCTTCCAGCCTCAACCATTCTGTGATTCTGTGATGCCATGTGCACGTGTTTACGTGTACAAAACTTCCTGATCCTAACAGGGCACGTGACTCTATATCCTCATGTGGAATCTTTTACTGTATAAGCAGCAAGTTCCATTGCCCCTAATCACTCTGCAACAGAATTAAACGAAAACACTAAAGCATTCCCGATATACATACGGTGTCTTTCAGGGACAGAGCCTTTCTCAGGCACTCACCATATTTTCCCTGATGATCTTCCTCAGGAATTTCCAGGCTTTAATCACAGCCCAGCCTGTAGAGCTGATATATTCTTGCACCTTTACTAGCATCATCTGCAGTTTCACACAGCAAGTAGCATTCTACACCTCATCTCTCATTTTTGTAGATATTTGAAACAATCTATTTTTTCACTCAGAGAGCAATTATTGTGCTACAGTGTCATCCCTGGTAATGTTTGCTGTGGAACAGACTTCATTAAGTTAGTTAAAATCCATGTCCCACAGTTCAACTCAGAAGAATTCTAACAGCTGGACAGAAGGCTACCGCCTCAATAAATTCACGATAGCATACATATACTCAATGACTATGTTAACCGGAGTATGTGAAAGACAGGAATTATTCTACATCACTTATACATCTCTGTGTTTACCTACTCAGTCTGTACTATTAAACTTTCAGAATTCCTTCTGGAGGTAGCTACAAAATAAAATTGTCAGCAGGCTTACTATTATATGTAAAGGGTCCTTCAGAAACTTCTTTTTTCCTTTTGTTTAAACAGAGGTACAAAAACTGCTGCCAAGTACACCTGAAATACATACAAAGTAGTTCCACTAAAATTAGCCCAGGCATTCCACTTATGAAGGCTACACTGCAGCTATGCAAAATGATACCTCACCAGCTATAGACTTCAGTGAGAAATCCCCTTGTCTGGTGTACAGGCACAAACCCGGCAGAAGCGCCTCCGCTGCTTCTTATTCAAAAGATCCTTTGTATGCAAAAAAAAAAAAAAAAAAAAAAAAAAAAAAGTTCATGGGTTAACTGAGGCAAGGGAGGGGCACAGGAGAACATATCTTTCCAGGGGGATCTCACACAAACCCTATCAATGGCACACATTAGAATACACCCCTTCCTGCTCTCATAGGCAGCCTGGAGCCCCCAAATCAGATAGCACAGATGTCATACTCTGGCACTTTTCTCTACCGTACTTCACCACACATAGGACGGAATAGAAAGCCACAGTCAGTTATTTGAATAGTATTAAAACATGATGAGAAAGTGATGCCTGAGAGCAAAACAGTGCTTTGAAAACAACTGGTTTGAAATTCTCTGCAAACTGTACCAACAGAAAGCATCCAGTTTGTCTCCAACATGTTTGCTTCCAGCCATCCAGCCTGGTTCAAGGCCCAGTAGCTGGAATGTTTATGAGTCCAGAAAGATACTTCATGTGCGCACGTGTGTGTGTGTCTAATGCTCTGCTTCTTGGCAAGGTCCTACCAATTTTTGACGATTCACTGCAAGGTGCTTTCACGGTCTTGTCTGAGATGGTGTGAAATGTCCTGGCAGTGATGATCACACCTACTGTCTTTCTAAATAAAGACAGACACACATATTGTTAATAATACCCCGAGTCCTTCAGTCCTTTCTCACCCTGTACCATATTTACCATGTACAATATTCTGTCTGGTTTCATTTATAGGTTAGACCTCTACGGTCAGGAAAACATGCTGGCTGCTGCTGAGCTTGCTTCTAGCATGTACAAGCAGAAGGGGAATAGAAAAAACAAGCAGATACAAATAAAATTTTAAAAGCCTGAAGGATGACTTTCATATCAAAAATGTTTTGCTTTGTTTATGAGACAGAGGTTAATACAACTTGTGGGTGAATCCTTCAATGTGTGTTCATCTTTATATCAAGCATGAGTAAGTCTTTTGGTTTGACCAAGATGGCCAGTGTGGATAAAAACAGGGACAATACATAACTAATATAAGTGATTACATAAAATACTGTCAATGTTCTTTAGCAAAACACACTCAAACTGAAAAAGTATACTTTTGGCTTCTAACTTACGTTCAACACTCTAAGCGCGGGAGCTACTTTTTAATCATTTTGTAGAAAATATGAAAATTGCAATTACCTCAGAAAGCTTGCAGTTTTCAGCCTCCTGTTATTAAAAGCAGATGTGCTTTCACATTTTTAAAGTGCTAAACTTGTATTATCAATGTAGTATAAGCAACACTTCTTTGGAGGACAAAGCAGTTATGCCAAAGAGCTATAATATCATGAATGACATGGAAAAGGGAAAGAGTAACTGCCCACTAGTTTTGTTTGTAGTAAAAAGATGAAGAGGACAACAAATAAGGCTATTAGACAGCAGATTAAAAAAAAAAAAAAAAAAGGAACAAAGAGATCTTGAGCTATGGAACTCATGTCTTCAGCATGTTGTACAGTCAAGTCTGTGCTGCTGAAAAGGCAGTATATTTGAAAAGGTTTGAATAAAAGGGAGGAAGATTACATCTGCCCTATGCTCATCTTTTTCCTAAGGCACCTGTTACTAGCGTTGCTGGCTGCAAGGTACTGAGCTCAGTGGGTGCTCAGCATTTTCAGTTTTTGCAAGTTATTCACAAATGGAGCTAGCTATTGTACACAGATAGCTAGATGTGGTACTTGTTAGAAACTGGAAATTCAGAGCTTGAAGGGACCTGCAGAGACTATTTAATACAAACTTCTTTGCGTTGTGCTGGAAGTAGGTGTGTTTTGTGTAATCTTCTCAAAAGTAATCTCCACTGAGCAAGGTTCCAGCACCCAAAGTTTGGGTAGTTTGCTTTTCCCTTCTTGTACATTAAGGCAATTTCTTCTCATCTTTCCTGTACTGGGAAGAAAAAAATACGAATAAACTAACTTAAAATGGGCAAACAAACCATAGGTAGCACGCACTGCTGGTCTGATTTCCATGCCCCTCGTTTCTGCAAACCAGGGCTTTCCTGATTTACACACACTTCTCCCTTGTCATTTTAATAAACACTTCACCTCCACGGTCTCATGTCAATCCCCTCTTTCTAAAGAACATGATTCTTTTTGTTTTCTGTTTCCTCACAGTCTAAACCTGCTTTCTTAACACCCTTTCCCCACTGTTTCCCAGCAAGCTGCTACTGCCATCTACCCCATTGGAACATAATGCCCGTCTTTCTCTCCGCAGATCAGCGGGCAGTGCAGCGAGCCGAACAAACTGCTTGTGAGTGCATGTGTCAGGCCATATGTTGCACAGATAATTCCAAGTTCACAGGTAGTTTAACTGCTAAGCAGTCAGCATCCACTCTTGTGGGATTGGTCACCCAAGCTAGAGGAAATTTTGTTGATTACTTCAGCAATGACAAATGTTTTAAACAGTGCAATAAGAAAATGTGAACACCGCATAACAAATAGTAAATATTATTTCCAGTACACAAACTCCATAAAAGTTCACATAAAATACAATCACTCTGAAAACATTTCCAAAAGCAGAATCATTTACATAGAGGCTTATATGAATTATTCCTGGCAAATAATAAAATATTTGTTATTCTTACTTCCTCTGCATTCAGCTAACACTGTTTGTTGTCCAGGGCACTCTTGATTTAGAAAATCATTTAAGAACCTACTGAACTTGTATTCAATGGAAGGAAAACAGAAGATGCACGTTAAAAACACACAGGAAGCAGCCATAGCACAACTGTCCCATCCCAAATAATACTGCTGCAGATATAATCCATATAATTACTTCATTCTTAATCGCAGAATAAACACACAGGAAAAGCTATCTATTGAGCAGATGGAAAGAGCGGTGAACTTTCAAATATTCCTTTGCATTTTGTTTCACTGAAAAGTGAAAAGATCTCTTTGGCTTTCATGAAGTAAATGCAGACCCTGCCAACAAACTGCTTTTATTCATAGAGAATGTCAATTGGTACCTGAAATTGAAAGCTGACATAGCATTCTTCTCTACTGTTATTGAGAAAAATTACACTGGCTTAAGATTTACAAACAGAATCTGTGATTTCCTGCAAAATTACAACTTTCAGGATAGCTGAAATCCCCATTACTGTGGGACTTAACACGTCTCATGCTCTTAAATGTATTTATCTTCACAGATAAGCATGAGTTAGGGACAAACTGCTTGGTTCTGTCCTTTAGACGAGGAGCTCAGTCTCAGAAATAAAGATCACTTGCCAGAGCTCACACAAGAGCATTTTGGTAGAGCCATCTCAGGCAAGCCCCTTACTTTTCCAGCCCTCCTTCCTCTACCATGTCACTGGAGGGCAGCCCATTGGGCGTCTTCTGGCCTTTTCTGTCCCACGTACCCTGGCTCCTGCTCAAACAGAGCTCCACAGCACCCACTTGCTGCTGAAAACACCTGACACCAGTTAGTAAGTGCTACACAATTAGGGGAAGAAGTAGTGGAATGATGAGGGTGTCATCCAATAAAATTCAGGTTTTCAGCCTTAGCTGACTCTTGATTATAATCATGGGCTAGAACTGGAAGGAAAGTCTGTCAGTTTATACTCACTGAGGAATTAATCTTTTAGTCACACTGTTGCTGATTTTAACGGACATAATTTTATCAATGCATTAACTTGTTTTTTACATTCTATAAAAACAGCTTTTCCCAATATGTGCTAATTTCCTCTCTTACAAAATAGATGACGTGCTGAAAACCGAACTGCATGTCTACGTTCAGGCTATAGAATTTCTCTGGGTACTGTAGCCTTGTCACTGCATGGAGTTTTACATAGACTAATTTACACAGCCTTGCAGAGCCATAGGCCAGGATACGTATTTGCATCGCACTAGTGATTTCTGCATTCACTCAATGAGGATGTGAAAGCTTCAGCCTAAGGTCAGGGTGTGAGACTATTCTGCTACTCTATTTTATGAGAGTGTCTACCTAGCAAGAGAGTGCAATACAGTTCAACTCTAAATCTACACCTCTCTAAGGCGCCATAATAAGCTTTTAGCAACAAGCCTTATATTCAAGGAAGCAGCTTTCTAGACAACTACAATGCAGCAGAAAAACAGAGCACAGTCAGTATATGAAAGCTTGCAGTACCCAGCTGTGATTAATCACTGCTAATAACTGGAATAAATAAGTATGTAGATACATCAAATATGTCATTTAAAAAGAGCATTGAACAATAACACTGTATATCTTGACTAAATTAAACAGTACCTAGGTAAAGTCCCAGGCTCTGGAATAGTACTGTTAATGGTAGTAAACTCGTTTTGGTCTGAGCCAAGTTTTGGAAGCTAGAGCCTTCCAGGAGCCATTTACAATAGGTAGTTCACATGTATACAAGCATAAACAGGGGCTATTCCAGCTAGTCTCAAAAGTAGCAATGTCCCTGTGTAGGTTTAATTTATTAGAACAGATATAGCCTAAATGTGCCATTTTCTGTTACTAGGACCTCTTTAATTTCAAGAATTTAACTTTTCTGAAAATACAGCTCTTTTGAGAGTGCTGTTTAAATCGCTACAATTGAGAGGACCTTCCTTCCATCTTTTCTTCTGAAAAAGATGTGAGAAAAGATAAACATTACTGAAATGAGAGTAGGATAGAAATACACCTTATTGCAATATACAATAAACACACAGCAAAGTCCAAAAGTACCAGCGATTAAGCTTCCTAGAGTCCCTAGTATCACATAGTTCTCAGAACTGGATTTAGTTACGGTATTGATGAGGAAAAAGGTTATAAGGCTTGAGGATCTGCAGCAGTTTGACCTTTGTTATGCTTGTTATGCTACAGTCAATGCATAACACATCAGGTGGCATTTAAGAACCTACTTGGTTCTAACGTTTCCCTGGGTTTTAACGCTTTACTTAATAGCATTGATTGAGATTCTTTTAGTAACAGGATTTTCTTGTCAACTGACATTCCAAATTATTATGGAGTGATGTGAAATGCTCACTGAAAAAGGGAAAATTATTAATTTGAAGTCCCATAGTATGCGTGGTTCTACCATACAGGTGCAGAGACCAAAGGATCATGCAACAACTCTCCTGCTGCCATTGCAACGCTCTTTCAAAAGGCCACTTGCATTAGTTCTTATGTGTTGAAATTTTTCTTAAGTACACTCCAGGTTCACCAGAGGGGACAGAAGTAGTTTCAGCTGAACTTCCCTGTGCAAGAAATATAAATATGTTATTATCAGTGTAGTATGTATCTGAGCTACACAAATACAAAAAAATCAATAACGTCAATATAATATTAGTATTAGTTCTGCTGATATTTTTCCTTATATTAGCTTGTTTCATTAATACAGTACACTATTTCTGCATACCTGAATCTATAGCAAATGATACTGTGGATGCTATAATTATTTTACCAAAGTAACTCAGACAGATAAAATTCACCTGAACTGTTCAATTATAATCTCTGATGTAGGACCTTTAATGACAAAAATTGTCATTAAAGGGAGAATAAAACTGCAAAGTAGCAGGAACTACTACTCCTAAGATGTGAGCAGCTCCTACCCATGAAGGGAGGTCAGCTGAGGTTAAGTTAAACCTTGATTTCAAGATGACTAATTTTAAGAATGCCATCCAGTGGCAAAAAAAAAATAAAAAAATCTCAGTGGAAAAGCAACTACAGTGCAAATGAACACCAGAAATCTGAGAGAAAAGTGAAAATACTGGGAAGCTGACACTTCATGTTCTAGAATATATACAAATATACATATATAAACAAATATCCAAAGGTAAAAACTTGGACTTACCTTTTTTTTTCCCCATGCATACCAAACACCAATAATGACAAGAATACAGAGGAACACAAGGGAAATGCTGATTCCTGCCGCTAGAAGAGCAAAATGAAAGGTACCCATGACTCAAAGCCATTAAGGAAGAAAATAATACCTCCATTTGTGGTCGATAATTATGCAGCATAAAATGGTTATATGTGACACCAAAAGCTAGGTCTCTATTTTTTCCTACAAACAAAAAGCTCGTTCAAGTCTGGATATGTACAGAAATGAACCAAGCACATTACAGCTCATTACAGTCAATGATTTTCTTGGCAGTGCAAAGTATGTGCTATATTCATCTCTAGGCTTACTATGCCAACAGTTACTGCTGCTCACAGTATTATTGGTGCTACAGATTTTACTGAAAGAAAAAGCCCCAAATACTAATTATGGTAATAATAAAGTAAATTACTATGGTTTAGTCTAGTAGAGTGATATTCTTATTACCCAAATCACCAGAGAAATACCGTAATTTGCAATTAAGGAGTGTCTTTAAATACTCATTTATAAAAACAGAGTTTTTCAGGCTAGTGTAGGCAAGTCCATACACAGCTTTTGTTTTCTATAACCGATTGCAGTACAAGCAGTTGCAAGTTCAAAACTTAAGAAAAAAATAAATTTAAGCATAAATATATATATATATATATATATATTTTGAAGTTGTGAACGTACCTACTGGAACTGACAGATGTTCTTCCACTAAAAGGAAAAGAATGAAAATTAGAAACATGAGAAAACCGTACAGCTATTGTATAATGAAGCTAAAGCTGTTTTCCCTAACTTTTTTTTTTTTTTTTGGTGATTACAAAGCCCTGAATTTACAGTCAGGTGGAAGAAGGAAACTAACTCATGATTTCCCACCAAAATAATAGATGGCAGTTATTAACTACTCCGTACCTACATTGACTTCCACACTGATTTCTGTTTACCCTCCTTCATACCTGCTTTGTCTGTTGAACAGGTGAGGCTTTGTGTGGCAGAGCTCTCATATTTAGAGAGATGTGAATTTAAATATATTTATAATTTAGCATAACTAAGTCCAAGTCAGAATGGCAGCTTTCTTCAGATTCTGCCATGCTGAATGAGGAAGGAGGAAGGAGGAAGCAAGCAGGTTAAGACTGTTGCTGCCCAGTCTCCTTCTCCTTTTTGCCTTTCTTCCATCTTCACCACTGAGCCTTAGGTAGTGTCTTGGCACAAGAAGACATGAGAGAGAAAGAGAGCAGTTAAAATTCCTGACTCTTCAGCTAGGAACAATGTCCTAGCAGCTGCCTCAGAGACCACCACCACACAAAGCTTCACAAACACAGCAATTAAGAAAGCATTAGCGTTCTGAAGCCCTGGCCTGTCCCTATAAAGTTTCATGCAGCTCGTAGCTGTGTTCATAAGAGCAAAGATGGGGCTTGTGAAAGCAGTCACTTCATAAAGCCTCCAGAAAGATCAGCAGGAGCAGGGTATCACTTGAGACACAAACAGACAGGTGCTGGTGATCCTGCACGGAGGGATGTCACAGAAAGTCAAGACACTTAGCAGGTCTACAGGGCCTTTTTCTGCTGTTATCTTCCTCACCAGTCTTCCTTTAGCACAGAATATCAAGCTATCCACTGGTCTTGAAAAGTACCTGACATTCTATACTAAATGACATATTTTCTGCTTCTTGACAGAAAATTATTTAGGCTGTGTTATTTGAGATGTCTGAAATAATCTTTGTGCTTCAGCTTCCACATCTGTAGAAACAGGGGGGAACCTGTTTAAGTCAATCACAGGGTTATATTGCTGCTAAATTGATTTATGTTTGCAATTATAAGGTTTTTGGATAGAAAGAATCATAAGGTGGAAAACAACCAGAGAAAAATGGAACAGTGTATTCACACGACACAGATGCGCACACTTAGGTAAGAACTGACCCAGCACTTGAAGGAAGCAACAAATTAAAATACAGACCTAGATCATGATTGCTTTCCAATTCAGGAGCTTGAGTGACTTCTGAAGTATCTGAGGCACCAAATGAGACATTATCTGACAGTGTGGTGTTTGCCGCAACTTCCATATTGTTACAAAGATATCCTAAAATTTAAAAAAAAAAATAAATAAATAAATAAATAAATTGCTAGATTATGCCATACCATTTATTAAGGTTGTTTGGTAGTTTCAGTTAGAAAATTCTGCTTTCAAATGATCATAACGTGAACAATCTTGCCTGCTGTTTTACATTTGCAATGTTTCTCTCCATCTGACTTTACTGTACGAACATTTCGGTTGAAATTGTTAAGACATTTCTCAGAAAAAGTTTTGAACAAGATGGTCATTTACTCAGTTTCCAAAAGCTTTTTCATAGATAGTCTTCTCAGACATTGTTTCCTTGCTTTGGACTAAGAAAATGAAATCTATAAAGGAATGGTAGCAGAGCTATAGCCTTTACTAGATTTGGGCACTCCGCAAAAATTAGTAAACCCATTTTCATTTGCTTTGATGAGGCTTGATAATTCACCTGGGTTGTTTATTGATATTCATCCTCGTTCTCACTTTTGATCTTGCCCTATATGCTTCTCAGATGGGAAGCAATCACACTAATACAGATGATGACGCTCATTAGCTTGGTTTAATTAACAATGAAAACACCCTTTCTTTCACATTCCTCCTCACCTGCAATTGCAAATTAATGAAAAAGATTTGGGAAGGGGTGAAAGATACTTACCCTGAAATTTTTCTAAATGATAGGAAGAGAGAAAAACTATACCCTTTGTTAAGTTATTGGAGCATTAAGAAGATGCTTTCTTCCACAGCCTCAGTTGTGACATGAGAAACAAAACCAAATCTCTTCTATGGAAGTAAGTTTAACCGTGGAAGTTCCAGGAGGTTCCACAGGGGAAGTAATTGACTCTGAAACAGCACAGGGGGGCAGAGCTGTGCCGCATGAGATTCTTGGACATACAACTTAAGAGATTAATACCAACAAACATCTCACATAATTCTGGTCTCTCCTGAGTTCTTGATGCTATAATTCTAGGAAGAGATTTATAGGTAACGTCTCCAAACATAACATCCACAGCTTCTCTGGAAAGGAGCAAACAGATGCACCCAGGATGTTGCAATAAAAAGGAACAGTACTTGTGGGCAGATACTGACCCTCTGAGAATATGCTGCACTTGGTAGCAATGGGTGTAAGTTGCTCAGTGGTTAGGAGGAAAACTTGCTTTGTCACTCTGAAGCTTTTGTAGGACTCAGCCAAGCAGATCACAGCTCTACAGAGGAGGCCTGACAATATATGTATCTCCATGAACTCCTCTGAAGAGGGATGGCATAAACTCTCGGCCAGACTTGTGCTCTTGGGAGCATGTGTACCTTCATGATAAGAATGTCCATTAGCCAACACCCTCCACCTCTTAACACCTTAAATTCTCCCTCTGTAGCTGCCTTTAGTGGGACTGAGGTGTAAAGATTTTTTTTTTTTTTTTTTTTTCTTTTTCCACAAGGAAACAACGTTCTCTTGAAAATTTATGAAACTGATAGAATCAGTCACAAATTCTAACTGCTAAATATAAAAACCTTTCATTATTGTCTAATATTACACCCAAAATTATATAAGGAATTTCTGTTATATCCAGTCACAAATTCTGAATAGTAAACATAAACATTTTCATTAGACAGAAGTGATATAAGGGACTGGTGTCCTGCTCATCCTAATAATGCAAATGGTTCAGTTGGGAAGAAGTTCATGAAACTCGCAGAGTGAGATACTACCCCTTTTAACTTCTACTCAGTCAATTTACAAAGTCTTTATGGGACAATTAGAAAGACCTGGTGCTTATTGTTAAATAGTCTGAAATAATTCAAATTTTTGCTGACTACATCATCGCTGAGATACTGCCATTGTATCTGTAACTAGCAGTGCTGACCAAAAAAAAAGGTATGAGCTGTACGTGTTTTCATTTCTCTAATTCTACTATTGATTTTTAGAATAGTGATCATTATTGATGTTAACATTTATTTTTGTAATTCATTAATGAATCTAAAGATGACTAATATTGCAAGAAATGTTACCTTTTATTGGCAAGTGTCTTTCTGTACCTCCAGAGGATTTCATTAAAATACAACTTAACTCATTCTTGAAGTTTTGTTAGAGTGCTACAGATACTTATATGGCAAAATAACTGTGTGCTTTTTAAGCGAGTTATATCTTACTGATAGAGCTATAACTAATCATTCCTGTGCAATAATGCATACACAAAACACCTTCAATGATTGTACAACAGTTTGTAGATCAAGTCACGTGAATTAATATTTAGAATATACTTCAGAATATTTTCAAAAAGTAATTACAAGTATTGAAGAGAAAGTAATAGCTGAGAAAAAAATAAAGAAATGTTCACTCACCTGTAAGTAACAGGATGAACATAAGCATTGCCTTACACATCTTCATTTTTTTCCTTCTGTATCTGGAAAAGTGCAAAACCATCAGAAAAACCTGAAAAATCCCCAGGTCACTGTCCCCATAACAAAGAAGCCATAGCTGTAACCCCCCTGAGGCCACAGAACTCAAAAGCCTAAGCCTGCTGCACTTATCATTACCAGAGCTGCTTATTGGCTGAATCAGGTTGTTTCCCAAAACAGCTGTTACAAGGGCTTAGATGCCCCATAGGCTGCGTAACACCAAGAGCTTTGGATGTCATGAAAAGAATTTACTTAGCTACCAAGAGAAGTGTGCAGGGAGTGCAAAAATTACAAAACCAACAGCTAAACTACAAGTTCTATTCATGTGTAAAACGGGTTCTGAACTGCACATTTACTAAAATACTCTAGTTGCGATGAGGATATTCTCATCTGTCACACCTACAGAGAGACTTTGTGTAGATCTCAAAGCTCTCTGTAAGCATGGGAAATGTATCCTTTCACAAAAGGAAAAGCCTGGACACATGGAAGTGAAATGCCTGTTGATCGCAAAAGACAACCATTTTCTTTTGCACTAGTCACAGGCCATAATATATTTCTAAATATTCAGTGCACCTTAAAAATAAGAATTCAAAGCAAAAACATTGCCAGTCTGTAAAATGTAATGATTAGTCACATTCCTAGCTATTT